ATATGCTTCTTTTCTTTCCGTTTTTTAATCCAGTCAAAGACGAAGGAATAAACACCAAACCAACGCACATGAAGGCACGTGTCATTGAAAGCATATGTGTGTGTGTGTGTGTTTTACATATGCTTTGATCGCACTTTTATTGAGCTTATTTCATCTGCTCTGAATATATACAAACTATTACTAGGATTGTGTGAAAATGTATCTCAACAGCTGCTGACTCTTGTGGCCCAGAAGTTGCAGATGGTAAGCAACACTCCACATTGTTTTACTTGTGGAGTGAGGGTGACTTTTTAATGTGAGAATTCCAGAAATCCCAGTGTAACTGGGCCGGGGGTGTTGATTACACAGCATTTTGTTTCCTGGTGCAGTCACTCCACAGCACAGAAATGTTTTGTTTGGTGCGCATGTCAACACCTTTAGAGCCACACTGTGTACAAAAAATTATTTGAAATCTCTTTCATGTTGGTTCTTTGCAGTAGTAAATCATGTATGTGCAAATTCTTTCATTTTTGAGGGGAAAAAACCCCCACAAACTTGCTTGAGAATTGGATGCCTTCGCTAATTACAGTACACTGCATTACCATAAGCTGCTGATCCCTACGTCCTAGTCCCCAGGGGCAAACAAGAGCCAGTCTGAGTTCAATATCCCATCTGCCATCAGGGGAGGAGGAAGGGGGGAAGGAAAGACTTGCTCTACCCTGCCCTTTTTCAGCGTGGAACTTGAGACTGTGAGGAAGGGAGCAGTGTGGAGAGAAAGAATAATGTGCCGGATCACCTTTTGGTCTCACGAGTTCAAGAAGAACCACAGACTGGCAGAGGCTGTTGACGTGCATTTCCCTAAAGAATAAGACACATAATGTGACAAAATGCAATTTTTGATACTTTGGCATTGGCTTGATTTGTTTAGGTTCACAACAGCATTTTGTATCACAAACAAGTATAACAAGCGCTATTATTATAAACACCATTATTTAAAAATCGAGAGCAGGGTGATAATATCTTTTGGATTCCCAGCTGATGATCCCTTACACAGTACACATAGTGATTTGATCCACTGTTGATATAAAAGTTACCAGAAGATAACACCGCTTTAGTTTTCTCTTTGTTTGAGTTATGACTAAAACTTTCTTTTCAGAAATATGAGTTGCTTTTTTAAAAAAAAAAATCTTCTCCACTCGAACACAGGATTGCTGCCAATTTTCCTCAGGCAATAGAGCCTCAAGTTCAACACAACAGACAGCAAAAGGCCACACACACACACAAAAACAGTGTTATCAGAGACAATTGCTTTGGACACACCGGTCAAAATGAACAGCAGGCTAACGTGAACATAAAACCCTTTGGATTTTACCTCCATTGCAACTAACTTCGCTAGTGCCAAACTCTTTTGAGCTTAAAACACAGGAGGTATGTTGGTGCACTGTAAGGCAGTATGCAGACTAGATGACCCTAAAGTCAGTTAACTGCAGTGGACAAATCTAGTGGGAGGATTTCGGGTTGAGTTATGAGACTCTTATGAGGGTGAGATATGAGATGGAGAGGCAGCCTGTGGTGAGTAGCGATAAGTGATGAAAGGATCGACGGGTTACAGTGAAAAAGCACCAGACTGTATATTCTTCACTCAAGTCTAGAGTCTCAAACACACTTTTCTTTTGTGTAATGTGTATGCGCAAGTGTGATCCCACTGAAACTGCATACCAGATGAAAGTTAACTTGGCTCTGTTTCTTTAAAAGTCAATAGTGACATCAGTCTTCTTCCCACTTACTTTTATTAAATCTAATAGAGATTGAGATACTGTAATAACTTGGACACTTCCCTATCCAAGTCAGTCATCAACCCGTCAAGTTATTCAGACACCCTAGTGAGAGAAAACACACATGCACAAACACGTAAATGTTAAAGCTGATGATGAAACGTTGATGTTTTGACCAGTTAGACTATCAGACATCCACTTTCTCTGCTTAATGATCAGAGGATTTTGCAGGTTAAGAGGTCAATCAGATAAGCCTAGAAACCATCTGGTACCGAACATGAGGGAAAATTGTGTATTCCCTGACTGGTTGCAACTGGTTGCTGGCAGTCGTTGTAAAAATTGATTTCTAAAGCCCCATTCATGCAGGCCTAGCAACCACTCTTTGAGTGGTAGGGGAATAAATGGTATAGGAACTGATTCTTATATAGGGCTTTTCTACTCTACCTGAGCACTCAAAGTGCTTTATACAGCATGCCTGATTCACTCATTCATACAAGCACATTTGTCTGTTCCTAAGTGCTTTCTATCTAACATTCACAAAAGCTGCTCTCCA